CATATATATACCATATACCTATATATTACATCGCTATACTACACTAACACAGGTGGTGTACCACTGTACCCTCGTATGCACTAGACTGGTCAAAACAATAATTAATTTTTCGTACAAAGTTAAACTACACACATAAATATCATTTTTCCCACTTCATACGTTATTAAAAATATATATTATAGAGACAGACATGTTCTAAAAATTAAAAAACTCTGCAAACAGTACTATATTGGCTACACGCGTTTGCTGAAAAAGGACTCAAGGCATACAACGTTAACTATCTCATTATACATTTGTGTAAAAGTTTTTTTAAGCTTACACCAACTTTCATTAGGTTACGTATTAGGGCCATGCTATTTTTTGATGTGCCATTAATCGGTACCTCGATTTTTCTCAATTATTTCAAATTAAATTATTGTTGCGATCTTATTTATACATTAAAATAAATTTGTTGTTGCTAAAGCACGTCATTTTATATTATAATAAAAAAAATTGCCCACTCATATGTATTTTTTGGTTTTGAATAGCTTAATTTACTTTTTGGTACGCTTAACCCTGTCTCACAATAGGGACATTTACCTTAACAACATATTTTTTCATACATAAAGAGTTGCTCTTCAAGCCTGATTCCTCTCTGACTCCAAAAAGTTCAAAACACTGATTTTAGTGTAAGTAAATGCGGATACTGCACAGTGCACACATATGATCACGTATACACCTATATTCATGCAAGGAGCACCCGACGATCGTTGGTGTAGGTCGGAGCACACAGCTGCTTGTCCACGCGCTCTCTGTCTCACTCGCTCTCATGGCATATTGGACGAGTATATATTAGATATTTTTGATCTTAAAATTTTTTGTTAGTCCGAACAAAAATAAAAGACCTTATCGATTGGAAATTTTCCGCTTTACACGCTGGTATTTTTATTTTCGTTCGATCTGTTACCGTTAGTGAGATATACGTGAAACAAGTTTTAAACGCTATTTTTACGCTATTCAAGAGAGCTTTCGACTTTTTAACTATTTTTTTCGTAATCTACGCATTAAATTACGTACTATATCAAAAACGACCCCTTGGATATCAATTTTTAGGTTCAGCGGATTTTCTACTCGTCTATAAGTTCTTCCAAGCCAAACGATACGTTTGAGTAGATCAAGCAGTTGACAAAAAACCCGAAAACTCAATGCTGTTTAAAGTATTTTTTAAAAACCAAGATCTTGCCCAGACACTGAGAAAATTTTTAATATGATTAGCTCTTCTGATTAATAAATACATATATTTTACCGTAACAATTATTCAAAAGATTTTTTTTCTCTTTTAGAAGAGCATTTGAAAATATTTACCAAATTCTGCGGCCAGGTGGAAGAGCCCTGGTGCTGTATGTAGCTTACCACAAAATATTTGACTGCTACCTAAGAATAGCTCAGATGTCTCAATACAAACCGTATATGACGGTAATTAATAATGTTGTTTTTACTAGTACCAATAGTTTTGAAGAACAAGAACAATTCGAAAATGATGTATTTTCCAGGAAGTCACTAAATTCATCCCAAAATTTCAACATTGTGACAGTCCAACGGTTCAGATGAAGAAAATACTTGAGGAAACCGGTTTTAAGGTCTTGCACTGCAGCTTACGGAAAAAGACGTACATCTTCAGAAATTTGGAAATCGCAAAGAGTTGGTCATCACGTTATATATCACGCGAAAAAGTAAACATCCAGATAATTAACATTACTTATCAAAAATATTTTTCGCATGTTTTAGAACACTTTGTGGCTGCTAATCCATTCATAAGCAAAATGCCAGAGAACGTTGGAAAAGAATTCGGAAATGTTCTGGCACGCGAATTCGCAAGTAAAAAAAATAAGGAATTAAACGAGGAGGAGGAAGTACTTGACCTGCATCATTTACTCATCATTTATTTGGAGAAGCCGGAAAGAGAAAAATAAGGCAAAATATTTATATACGATAACTGTACGATTTAAAAAATAACCCATACATAAATCAATTATGTACACGCACAGTGTGCGGAAAAGGTGTGTGATAAAGGTTTTGCCACACACCGGAAAAAATTTTGCTACGCACTGGAAATCAAAATTCAAACCTATTTTGTACCTATTTTCCTCACACATTACGAAAAAACTTGTACGCAACTCGTGC